TCGGAATGAAACAAACATATGGTAATTATCATGGAATGTATATAGTAGGGGAGACGTATTCGAAAAAAAATCGCTTCCCCCATAGGAAAATATAAATCTCTTAAAGCCAAAAGCATCATAGGATTCCGTTTTTTTTCGGCCCACACTAAATCCGTTCAAGACTCAAACGATATGTTTCGTCATTGTTTGAGCTTGAAATTGAATAAAAACATGTTCTGTTGTTTCCTGAAGTATTTGAAAAGTCCAAGTGGACCGATAAGTTGCAGTAAAGATGTATTTTTACGCAAAATATATACCACGCGTAAGTCTGATTTGCATATAGACAAAAATGCGCCTCACCTTTTGCATGCGCAACTACCCTCTAGAGGCACCCTTACATACATGGCTAATCCGAATCAAGCCAAAATATGTCTCTGTTGACAGAGGTTCGATTTACTGATAAACTTCAACACAAATAGGTCCTTGTAGGTCCTGGTAGGTCCCGGTAGGACCTGATGTAGTAATTTCTTCGGCACTCGGGTATCATATTTACTTCAAAGGTAATTTAAGATTCATCGATATTGAATTACAGTCCTTCTCAATTTCATCATTGCTTTCAAGCAGTCACGGTTGGCCAAACTTGACTTGTTTTTTCTCGATAACTCTAGTCTAATATGTTGTCACAAAACCAAGTTTCACACTTCCTTTCAATCTGCTAGCAAGTGCCAATGAACACCGGAAATAGCAATCGTGCACAACAGATTCACAATAATATATACTCGCAAATCACGAGACAACGTGTTCTAAACTTTTACGTTTTTATTATTCCAGTATTTTATATCCCAAACGTAATTCCCAAGCCTCTTTAAATGACGAGACAAACTTTTGATTTACACGTTTCATAACCAGTTCTGGTAAAGTGTGACCAGCACTGCGCGATGGCTAGTTTCTCAGCAAAGTCAGGACACAAAAGGATAAATCAAAGTTCATAAATACCATAAGCACAGTTTCTTACCTTTGAAACTGACGAGATAGAATTTAATCTATATAACCCTTGTGCACAGAAAGATACAGTCCCGGAATACAATATCCTCAGACGAAAACAACGGCGATTTCCCCAGCAGTTAGACTGGCACATGCGCAATACGTTATGCCAGTTCTCGTGAAAAATTGGAGCGGTAACAGACAGACGAACGAACGGACCAAAGCAAATCTAGATGCCTTCGGCAGACGAAGTCTGCAAATCTAAATAGGCACAGAAGTTTTGTTTTTCAATTGTTTGTATTTGTCACTTTAAATTTGAGGAACTACCAATGACAGGACGATTTATTCTTTTTTTATGTAAAAATAAATCACTCCAGGTATGTCAAGCCTCCATTTATTTACGGGTGCTTCAAAAACATATTTGAGGGTGATTTTTGTGGGCAAGCAAAAGCCATAACACTGATGTCTGCATCTACATTCTGAAGGCAAGCAGAGGGCACTTAAAAGTCCAAGTCCGAAGTCAATTTCCACTTACAATGTTTAATTAAACAATTTGCAAGTTGTAAATGTGACATTCCATTGAAGCTGTGAAGCTTCGCGTTGCTAGTTATTACCAAAGATAATACAAGATATTTAGAATCAAAAACATGGTTTAGTTTAAATAGTACATATAGGTTTAGTCGTGTCATCCATTTCGTTAAGCAAACGCTAAAATTTGGACCTGTTGGACTATTATTATTCATCGACTTTCGTCTTTGCATATTGAACACAATGGTCATTTTTTTGGTGGATGTAACCAGAATCAATTGGGTATTAATTGTATGTTTTTTTTTAAATATTCCTTATTGAGTTTTGTGTGATGGATGGTCTAGCATTATTATATAGCATTACAGACAAAAAGTCCATGGTATGGATCACAGTGTGGTTTGTGTGGAGCATGGGGGTATTCTTTTTTTATCTCCATGGTCGGGGTACTTGCACGCTTCTGTGGCACGCATTGACACAACTCGAGTTGAGTTGTGCAAGTGTGTAAACTAGTCGTAAATTGGCGCGAAATGTGCGTGAACCTATCTTGACTGCGTGGCGTGTCAGGACGAGAATTTTGAAATGTTCAAAATTTTGGTCAGGACAAAATTTAGCAAACGGGTCATGAACTATGCGCAAACTGTTCATGAACTCATCTTGAACTCGTCGGGGCTATGTGTGCAAGTGCTTGGCAGTGGGCGCCATGCCATGACTGTCACAAATAGTTCACGAGAAGCTCACGCCGAGTTCACGAGTAGTTCATGACAAGTTCATGATTTGGTGCCTTTCCACTGACACGGCCACGTGTACTTCACACATTGATGGCATGAGCAGTTCACAATTAGTTTACACACTTTACGAACAGTTTGCGCATGGCACGAGCAGTTTACAACGAGTTCACGACTACTGTCTGACAGTGGCGCTCACGTCGGTGCAGGGGTATATATGGCTTCCTGGACACTGCTCACCATTCCAGAGATCACCAGCAAAGAGACAACTTATATCACAGAGACAACATGCCTAAAAGAAAGCCAATCCAAAAATGACCAGAGGTTTGGAGGGCCCCCTTTATATATGGCGTGCCCAAGTCGGCATGACACCGTTCGAAATGCAAAGCTCATCCTGCCAATGCTGGATGTGCGAAAACTATGCGCAAACTATGTGTGAACTCATCGTGCCAGTTCGTGTCAATATGGACACTGATTCATGAACTAAATTTCAGATATGGTCATGAATTGAACAAAATCTGACACTCAAAGTACCTACATACCAAGTATAAAAGCAATTGAGCCAGTATTTTTCAGGAAGAAATTGACATGAAAACTCAATGAATTTTATCCAATAATTTGAATTGAAATTAATAATTGATGTAAGAAAACTGACTGACTATGACCCCTGGTCGCCACACTTGTATTGACCATATTTTTTATATTACAGACACATGCATCTAAATAAATGATCTATCATAAAGTTAGCATATCCTGCTGCCAATACAGAAAATAAATCACGTCTTATTTCTTCAATTGTCTTGCCAGATATTTTTCTTAAATTCCCCTCTAACTATTACTGGAATTTTTGAATGGTTCTCATCTCAATATGAAGTCTCAAAAATAAACACCTTTTTACAAGAAATCTGGAATATGCATGCGAGTGAGTTGGTATAGCACATGTATACACACTGATATACTACACTTGCATAGATAACACACTCACTTTATTGACAGCATTCACATTAGCACCTTTATGTAGTAACTTCTCCACTATAGGAGTGCGTCCATTAAAGGCAGCGAGATGTAATGAAGTGTCCTTGTCCTGGAAATACAAAATGAAAATATCATTTGATTTTGTAATCAGGGGCTTGCTGAAGGAACTATATAAAATGGCCAAAAACAGTGTTGTGACCAGGGTCATGGCCCAATAAGCTGACTTAATTTCAACAATCAAGATGGTGTAAACAATGTATATTCGATGAATATACTGCAACCCCCTCTGTTAAATAATCATGAATTGTACGGTTTTAAACAAAATATATTTAGCGATTGGAAAGAATGGTTTTTGATGTATCCATGAATGTCAATGGTTTTTTTTTATTTTTTCATTTTACTTGAATCCTTGAATTGGACAATGGGTTGATTTTTGATGAAAAATAATAAGTATTTATTTGGGTTTTAAGCTCTCAACTGTATGGATAACTTACTGATTTAGGCAGAGGGTTTTCAACCCGCCTATTCACATAGTTCATAC